CTTGTCTTCCAAAATCTCAAAATCTGGGTTTTATCACTTCCTGTCTCCATGTCTTTGGAAAATTTTAACCACCCTAACCTTCACCTGTAAAATGGGGATAATACATCCTTAATAGGGATGATCTGAAAATTAAAGAAATGACCTATATTGTCTGCCTACTATTGAGCCTGATACTCCACAGGTTCTCAATTATATACCAGCTTCTTATTTTGATTTAAAAGAACCAAGTACTTTAAATTTTTGAAACTACATAAATGCCTAATCTTCTGTACTAAGTGGTCATTAGATATTAATTATAATGTTTTTGAATTTAATTTTACTTTGAAGGGTAAAAGCAGAAGCAAAAACAAATAGAAAAAAAATACAGAAACAGGATAACATGCAACAATACATATGTTACAGATTTTCAAAACAGGAATAGCTAATAACAATGGCTGTTATATTATCTATTTTATTTTGCTCAGATTAACAGATATAGTTATGCAAGATTGGACAAATAATTGAATATTAATGCTTGCTTTCAAGAAATCTTAATTTTTTTCTTGTCTTTTTTAAAAAAATTTTATTTTAAAGACAGTAAAATAATTGATAAGACATTAGAAACAGTACACATTTAGAAGACCAAGATGAAAGCTATTCAACCATGGGTTTTGTATTACACATTGCTGTCCTTGATGTAGTTGCTCAGATGACAGATATCAGCATACAGAGTTGGTTAATCAAAGTGAAAATTCTAAACATTAACTGCCATTTTCAAAAACTGATGGAAATTATTAGTACACTCATCTCAGCCACCTTATTTATAACTTTAAATGATTAAAACATAGTCAAGGGGCCGGTAAGATAGTCCAGTGGTCTAAAGTGCCTGCTTAGGCAAGCTTAAGCAAGTGCATAGGGACTGTGGTTCGATCCCCGGCACTATATGCTGCTCCGGCCTGTCCCCAATGGTGGGCTGAGCCAGCCACAAAAATAAATAAATAAATACAGCCAATACTCTAGAATATGCTTAAAAGAATTCCACTTTCTGTAACACCTGCACACTTGACATACTTTCTACCCTACCACCATCACTGATTAAATAGGTTCAAAATCCAAATTTGTTTCAACATTTATAAAAAAACACACAATTAGACAGATCACTGCACCTAGCCAAGTAAATTACTATTTGAACTTTAAAATGCTAAGATATTTCACCTAATATTTTAAATAACCTAAATCACAGCATCCTCTCTTTGATAAGGTTTAATTAACTATTACTTCAGATCAGTAATACTTATAGAAGGGCCATCCTGAAAAGCATTGTGTACGAGTTTTTTATAAGCAGTAAATAATCTAAAAGATTAAAAGTAAATGGTGAAAACTACACAAAGCTTAAATGCGCATTTCTATCCTCCACTTTCAGGCTCAAGAATCCTAGAACTAATTCCAAATTGTGAAATTGGAGTCTGTCCCCTGCCAGAGCAGCAGACTTAATGCATCATTAATCTGGTCTGCTCTCAGTTGCCAATTGAAATAGTCACAGTCATTCGATTTTTAAGGAAAAGACAGTACTGCAGAAGTACATTCCAGAGGTCTTTCCATAAAAACCATCCTGTGTGCTCCATCTGCATGTGCAATCTGCTTGTGTATTTTCAGCCAGCTTGCATGGGCAGATTAATGTGTACAATTAGAAAGCAACCTCACAGGCATTCAATAAACTGCCTTCATTATTACACTCAGGAGAGTCCCTTTGGATGTCAATAAAAGCCTAGTTTTCTGCCTGTTAGCTAAATAATTGACAACACTAAAAATAAGCAGAAGCAAATGAACAAAGTCAGGAACAAGGTGTGAAGAAAGAGTACATTAAGATTATCATGGTGCTGCCCCAGGTGGCTATCCTGCGCTTCTTTTCCAGCACCTCGGATACACAGTCTGTTCAAGTCCATGGCAGTCCTTTTCCACAAGCAGGACATATTGTTCCTGGTCTGCTGTTTGAACCCTACACATCACAGCTTGCAGAATCTAGCAAGGTATTGACTCATTCTAAAGAATTTCTTATTTGGGTTTCTATTTTGAATTCCTTCACTTGACAGCTTCAGGAGAATCTAATTTAAGGGGTATGGGACAACAATCTGGGTGGTCTAGTGAAATCTTAGCACTGTTTAAACTTCTAACAGTTTTCCTAGGCACTTTTTTTCTACCATAAACTGTCCTAAGAAAGTAGATACTCATTCTATGGAGCATCCACCTTTTCTAAGAAGCTCCATTCATATTTATAGCTATACAATGGTCATTCATTTCATGAGCTATTGGCCTTTTAATTTCAAAAGTAATTCCAAACCAATGCTCTTAAAAGGAAAAAAAAAGCTCACATACATATACCTCTTCTTGTGTTTCTCAATAGGCTTTAAAAATCAATTTGAGATACTTTCTCATTTTTAGCCAACTTCTCTTTTTCTTGGTTAACTGGCACTTTCACGATAAGCAGAAGAAAGAGCCAGAGTAAAATGTGCATGTAATTGAATTGAACTCCACTGATAGTACGTGAGGTGGCTAAGGGCAAAACTTTTTTCTTCTTTACAGAATAAAAGGTGATTGATCTTTAGTATTTAGTAAAACAAACTCAAGAAACTAGAAGTAGATGAAAGAAAGAAGGCTGAGCAGCACAACCTCCAACATTTGAAAAATTCAAGAATCTCTCACCCTTCACTTTACTGTCTCAAATTCTGCAGAGAACGAACTGGTTTAACTTCCCAGTCCTGAATTTAAGACCCTCACAGAGAAGTAGGTCTTCCCTTCTCCAATGTAAAAGCAGTATGCCACAGAACAGCTATAATTATTTTTATTTGTGACTCTAATTAACTAAAGCCACTAATCCTCATCTCCCTCAACTCCTCAGGATGGACCCAGAAATAAATCCTCCTTCTTCTCTATCCATGAAAAGAGAGGAAGTAATATATTAACACCCTTAACCCATTGCTTCCCTCTTGCTATGTGTCTCCTCAAGACAGTCAGTTTCTTGTGATATTCAAGCTTTCTCTTTCCCAAAGAAGAATAGGGAGAAACAGGCTTCAGATTCTGTGACTAAAATGAGTCTACTGCTGAAGATGGCATCACTCAGTAACCCTTCCATCCAGCTTCATTCCATCTCCCAATTGTTTTCTGACCTGGATAGCAGATGCCAATTTCCTATCTTGTCCCTAAGCAATATATAAGAGCAAGAAACTGCTTTTTCATTCTTGTCTCTGAGTCTTAAAACAAAAAGGAACAGCTTATGATAGAGGCAGGATACTTACAATGTTATGAGAAAATTAGAAGATGTGGCACTTAGAAATTACATTCTAAGGTGTCACATACATGTGCAGCTCAATATCTTAGTGACTTGAAATTCTGTAAATGAGGGACAACAGTGGGGAGAGAACAGGAAGCAGTTGATCAATACTGCATAAGAAAAAGGGAGGTCAACTGTTGGTTCTGTTGAGGCCAGAAATTTATATAGAGTCTCTCCAAAATAAAGTCATATAATCCTATCCAACAAGGATCTCTGTAAGAAAATCATCTCAAGTCCCTATAATAGGCACTTCTATTACATCCACATGTTATCTTTAATCCTTACAATTAGCTTATTGGATGAATATTATCATTCTTATTTTGAAAGTTAAAGTCAAGTGAATAAACCACTGAAGATCAGTAGTTTGTCCAAGCTCACAGCTAATGATTGAAACTAAGACTTTTAACTAGGACTTGGTTTTAATTTTATTACCAGATGGGTTGTTTCTGTCACACCAGGTATCTAGGCTCTTTGTGTTCTGAACAGGGAACTTAATAGGACACACAGGAGTAACAAGAAAAGCATATGGCTTATTAAAGCAAAAGAGTACTTCACAGAGTGGGAGCAGGCCAATGCTGAAGGGCAAGGGTGTGCTTGACCCAGGGGGATCCCATCTGGTTTGGATTCTAAGATTTTTATTGGAGCCTTTTCTGGGTTTGAAGATTTCAGTCGGTACCTAGTAAAAGGTTTCTCCAACTTCACTGTGAGTCTCCATGCTCATGTCAAAAGGATCTTTTGAATTTATATGGATCCATTTGAACCACCATGGCAGCCAAGTCCATTAGCAGGGTCAAAGCCCGAATGCTATTATAATGGTTGTGTGATCATTTCAGATGACACTCAAACATAGAACTGGCCCCTCAGGCTCGTGCCTGGTATCAGGGAGTGTGGTTAGGGCAGGATGCTCTTATGGTTTCCAAATGTGACAAGTAATTCTGTTTGCTGTGAACCTAAAATCAAGATGCTCCTCATGCTGCCTACCTCCTACCTTGATTCTACGACAATTAAAATATAGATATGAAATATGGTTCTTTTGTTTGGCCTTCTTTTTGGCTAAAACAAGGCCAAACAATTCAGGTACTCCAGCTATCAAGCACTAGAATGTGATGCTATCTTTTAAGGCTATGGAGTGGAGTATAATACTTACATTATAAAACAGTAGCTGCCCTACTACAGCAACACATATTAACTTCTGCTATTCATAAATTATACTATAAAAATTACCTTGCTATATGACCACAAATTGGAAGTTTTGGTAACTACTAATAAATGATATCAAACATTTGATTAAAACAAATTTGAATAGAACAGTCTTCAGTCCATTAGATAAATCCCCATTTAGGTTAGATTCTTCTTGGGTATTTAAATCACCTTTCTCCTTATATTGCTATTTTGGAAGTCTACATAATTAGAATTACCCTGGATCACCAAAATGTCAAGGTTTCCAAGTTATTTACAATGGTGAATTCCTAAAATTTAATATTAATATTGCTGGGCAATTGACTATTAAAGAGCACTTTTAAAAATACAGATTTCTCAAATCTGATACCTTCAAACACTGACAGAGCTCAGTTACTTAATTAACATAACAATCAATAACCTAATATGGTACCAGGTATTTGAAAAGTTTGCATCGTCTAGAATTTAAAAATATGTCTACAAACCTATCAAGTTCTAAAAACATACTCACTATTGGTGATGCTCCATGAATATTTTTTTTCTGAACTCTTCTTGAAGTTGTCTTTTCTCCTCTAGTTTATTGCTCTGAAATTGCAAATATCAAAATAAAATCAATTAATGAAGCCTTGGGGCAAGTCATGATGTTGAAATTATACAAAGTTCCAGTGGTTCTAACAGTCTAACATGGCATCCTGACAGAGGTTTCCAGATTGCACCCCTCTCAGAACCCGGGGGCACTAGGCCAAAACCAGAGCTGAGTCATGCATGTTGGCATATACCTATAATCCTGGCACTCTGCGAGGCTGAGGCAGGAGAACTGAATTTTGAGCCTAACCTGGACGACTTACTGATCTAATAATACCTTGTCTCAAAATAAAGAATAAAAAAGGGTTAGAAATATAGCTCAGCACAAAAGTCCTGGGTTAAATCCAATGCCAAAATTAAAAAGAAGGAAAGAGGAAAGAGGAGAAAGACGAAGAGAGGAGGTGGTAGTCAGGAGCCCAAATCTTTTCCTTAGCCCCCTTCTCACAATTTGACTAGAATAACCACAAAATCAACATTCTACATTTTATTTTAGCTCAAATGATAGCAACCCTTAATTTTTTTAATCAATATTTTCAAAATGTTCTACTGGCAACATAAAATTTCTAAATTTCAAGTATGCTACATTAAAATTATAATAAATCTATATATACACACCACCCACATTCTACTAAGGCACTCCAGAGAAGATTTTCAGTAAGCCAGCCCAATGCCCTTCTGACTTACAATCAGATACTTAAAACTGTTTAGAGACTGAATAACATATGTCCTAAAAAAATAAAGCCATCCACTTGAATGGGAAGTTTTTCTTTTTTAATTAGCTATTTCAAGAGCCTAAAGAAAAAGAACTCCATATTTGATTTTACTGTCACCATCACCCCGGCATATTTTAATCCCATTTAAATAACCCAGAGCACTTGCTTTCTGCTCACCATGATGCAACTGGCATTTTCTAAACCTGCCTAAGAAAAATAAGCAAATTTATTAAACAACAAGTTTAATAGGGAGCTGAAGCAAGTTTCTACAACACAAGAGAAATGTGAAGCTTTAAGTGAATTCAGGAGAGAACAAGCAACTGGATTTAATAAAAAATTGGATTTGCCCAGAGGAAGACCTGTGATCAGAGAATAATGGAAATCATCATCCTATACTTTGTATGTTTGGTTCCATCTTTCGAGAATGGGGTGAAATGTTCATATTTTTCATTTGCATGAAAATGTGCATTCACAAAGAACTTCCCCTATTTTGCCAGACAAAATAGATGTCGATTTCAATTCCAAATTAAAAAAAAAAAAAACTATAGGAAATTTACTAGTGTCAGGGGAATCAATTAAAATGCAAGCAATTATGTTTTAATGAAAGTGAATTCTAGGAAGAAAACTCACATAGAATTTTAAATCAAATAAATATGACCCTGGTCTTGAAGGAGTCCTGAATCTGAAACCAAATGTGCTCAATCATGATGAGCTTCTATCTCGGTTACTTTGCTCTCATTGCTGGGACAAAATACCTGACATGCAGAATTAAGGAAGAAAAGGTTTATTTAGCTCACAATAAGTGGAAGTTTCAGTCCATACTTGGCTGGCTCCAAGGCAGCATGGCACATGGTAGAGGGCAGCAGTGTATGGCGGCAGAAGACAGCAAAGAACAAGAGTAAAAAGGGAGGAGCAGCAGCGGCAGCAACTAGCAAGCCTCTCTCCCTTCCTTCTGTTGTATGCAGACTACCCAGCCCAGTGGGGGTGTAGCATTCACACCCATAATTCCAGCATTGGATCATGAATTAATAACAAACTCTAGAAGCCTACCCCAATGACTGCATGAGGCTTTGTGCGGACAACTAGACAGCTCTGTACACCTCTGGGCAGACGGATGGGGAGAACAAAAGTAAAAGACAGCAAGCAAGCAGGAGGTATTGATTACACCAAATGTTAAGAGATGCTTTACTGAGAATATTGAGAAAGCCACACAAACATCTAGAAACAAAGTCTAGGTTAGTGGTGGCAAATCTACAACACATGTGCCACAGCAGGCTATTTGTATCACTGAAAGCTCTAAAAGCTTTGCCATCACTGGTCTATGTTCTTTAAGCAAGGCCAGAAACAGAGACAAGCAATTTTAATTTCTTCATAAGTAGACTAAAACTCAAAATAGTTCTATAATACCTAAATTTTACCCAACAAAATTCTGCTATTCCTCAACAGAAGCCAATAGAAAAGTACTCTGAAAATACTGGAGTATTTGAGAAGCCATATTTAATACATGTGAATGCAGACACCAATATTAGTATATTATGTGCATTAGCCCTACTTTCCTTTTGCTAGGAGAAACTGCCTAATGCATACAGTCTAAAGGAGAAAAGATTTATTTTGGCCTATGGTCAGCTGGCTCCAAAGAAAAAACATCATGGCAAAAGGGCGTGGCAGAGCAAAGCTGGTCATTTCATGGCAGCTGGGAAGCAGAGAAGAGGGTAAGAGTACCAGAGAAGGGCTCAGAAATCAGATATAGTTCTCAAAGTCACACTCTATGACTACTTTCTCAAACAACGCTGCACCTTTTAACAGCCCACTCAGTTGTAAACTACCTTCACAATCTCTCTAGGAGTCTCTTAACCCAGTCAAGTTGACCATTAAGATTAATCACTCCTAGGGCTGGCCAAATAGCTCAGTGGATTAAAGTGCCTACAAGCAGGCACAGGGGCCAGGGGTTCAATCCCCAGGCCTGCAGTGCCAGCCCCACCCCAGGGGCACATTTGAGACTAGGTGTGGTGACACACGCCTGTAATCCCAGCACTTGGGAGGCTGTAAACAGGAGAATCACTACAAGTCTGATCTAGTAGTGAGACCCTGAACACCCTGTAGACCTTTCCCCCACCCCCCCAAAAAAAAGATTAACCACCCCTAATCACACCTCCTTAAACCATACTTAATATCCAACTAAACACATTAACAAGCTCATAAATCTGCCTCACTTTACCTAACTGTCCTGTATACAACCAAAACTATACTAATTCCTCCCCAAAAGTCTTAACAGTTCCAGCACTGCTCAGAAGTCCAAGATTCAGCATAACTTTTAGCTGTGAAGCCTAGAAAAAACAAGTTATACAATCTCCAGATACAATGGCACAGGGGGGCCAGGGAGATAGCTTGGTGGTCTAAGCACCTGCCTGGCAAGTGTAAGGACCCAGGTTCGACCCCTGGTACCACATGCTGTGCTACCTCCCCCCTCACCTCCTTGGGCCATGCCAGCCACTAAAACCAGGCATGGTGGTATATGCCTATAATCCCGGGGGTGGGGGGAAGGCTGAGACAGGAGGATCACTATGAGTCCAAGCTGTGTAGTGAAACCCAGTACCAAATAAATAAATAAATCTTTTAAAGAAATGGCACAGGGTAAGGTTTCCTATTCCAAAAAAGAGGAGTAGGAGTATAGAAAGGAATCATGTCAAAGCAAGGCCAAAGTCCAGCAGGGTAAACTTTAAGTCCTATAGCTCCATGTCCAGCACATAGGGCACATTATAAGAGGGCTTGGGTGGCCCATCCACATGGCTTCTCTTTTGGGCTGGCTCTACTGGTCTCCAATGGGCCATGGCTGCAGCAGCCTCTGAATGCCTGGATGGCTGAACACACTGAGGTGTATCCCAGGCAACCAATTCCACAGGTAGCCCTACTCAAGCCTGGGGCACAGGGGCCCTCTTCCCAAATGAAAGACTGACACTATTAAAAAAAAAAAAAAAAAAAACAAAAAAAAAAAACAAGAACAGGCTTCAGGCCTGCAATGAGTGAACATCTTTCTTCTTGTACCAGTGCTAATCTCTTTAGCAACTATACTACTTTTGGACTCAACTTTACACATGCTTCTTTTCAGGCCAAAATTTAAGTTATTCAAATCTTTCTGCTGCATTTTAGGCTCACAGTTTTTACTATAAATTTGGCTAGAACAAGCCAGCAGTACAATGCCATAACCTGAACATTGGATGGCCCTGAACTTTCCTGTACCAGACAGATCAATTAACCCACTACCTTTACACTAAGCTTTACACAGTCTTAGGACATGGGAAAGACACATACAAGTGTTTTTACCAGAGTATTTTCAGTAATATGCATGAACTCCAGTCCAATTCCCAACAGAGTCCCTATTTCCATGTGAAACCTCATATAACATTTCTATCAGAATTCTAGTCTTCTGAGCTCCCACTATAATTACCCATCAATCTCTGTTCCCAGAATTCTAGGACTTATCTAGATGTCACCTCCAAATCTTTCCAAATTCCTCCTGTAAACCAAATCCAAAGGCTTCTAAACCATATGGTCAAACATGGTCACAGCAACATCTCCACTTCTTGAACTAATTTTCTGAATTGGTCAGCTTTTATGTTACTGAGACCAAATGCCCAATACCCACAACTCAAAGGAGAGGTTTATGTGGCTCTTGGTTTCAGAGGATTCAGTCATACCTGACTGTCTCCAAAGCACACAGGTCATGCTGGAAGGGAATGGTGAAGCAAAGATGCCCACTTCATGACATCTGGAAGGAACATCGGAGAGGACGGGGCTAGGCACAAGATATAGTTCCTGAAGTCCTGCCTCTGTGTCCTACCCAGACACACTTTCACACAAGTTGGCAACCAAGATTAAACATAATTGCCTACAGTGGCAAATTTGCAGTGTCAAGATATTGACAAGAAAACAGTAAGATAAATATGTTATGATAAAGCAGTTTGAAAGTGAAATGATACGAACACAAAGAAAATTCACAAAAGCAGGCTGTCAGGAAATGCTCCTGATAGCTCCCCGCTTAGTCATACAATGCCTAACAAGTGACAAGCTCCAACGTTACACACAAGAGCCAAAAAGTTTCATAACATGCAGAATGTAGTTTCTAATATCAGGCTTATGAGTTAGGAGTATATCTTTTTTTTTTTAAGAGAGTACAAATTAACATTAAAACTGAAAAAATTATAAGTGACATCAATTTTCACTTAAAAATATGAAAAAAATAAAAAAGTAATATGAATTTCACAGTACTTGTTGTAATACATACTG